AGTGCCACCCTTGTCGCTGGCTTCAGGCAGGAGCCTGGCTCAGGTTCTGTCTCTCTTGGAGCGTGTTCCTTTATTACCGTACATAAGCCGGAGCTTCAGTGCCCACTTGGACCCAGAACCCAAAGCCCGTGGCTTCAGCCCTCTCCCCATTGTTCTGTGTATGGTGCAGAAGTTTTTGTTGACTTGTGGTGGTTGTTATCTATTCCTGCACAACAAATTACTCCAAAACTTAGTGTCTCAAAACAATAGCCGATTTATTATATATCACAATGTTGTGCTTCAGGAGTCAAGGCGGGGCTCCGCTGAGTGATTCTTTTCCATGTGGCATCAATTGAGGTCACTCAGTATATTCAGCTGGTACATGGATCAGTCTGGAGGGTTCAGGACAATGGTGGTGATGGCTAGAAGGCTGGGCTTAGTTGGGACTCTTGTCCTGAGTATGAACATGAGGTCTCAGTGGTCTCAACATAGACTTCTTGCATGACAGCTCAGGGCTGAGAGTGTTTCAAGGAAAATGGAACAATGTCATACTATTGATCAACCAGTCACAAGCCAGTCCATATTCAAGGGGAGGAGTCACAAACCCCGCCTCTCTATGGGAGGATGGTCAAAGAATTTGTGGCCATATTTCATCAGCCACCCTTCTTGAATTTTTCCCCTGAACTATAAGGTCTTCGAGAGCGGAGACCGTATGCTACACCACTGTTGGATCCCTAAGGGCCCTCAATCACCTGCCACACAGAGGTGTCACAGTATATGGAACAAACGTCAAGATGAATGCACAATACATAGGCTTAGAGCTAATTAAGTGTTGTCTTAGTTCAGTAAGTGTTCACTTCCTTCATCCCTTCCTTGAGAAAAGAATGGGATTGCTGGATCAAACAGCGTGTTCTTTAGCAATTGAAACACATTGCCAAACAGTTCTCTGGAAAGTTACCTAAGGCACATTTTTAAGACTGTAAGTGTGCTATTGCTCATCTACTCAAATACAGCGAATGCATTTCCCCTCTGCCCAGAGAACTTCACCGACACAGGCAACAGACCTAAACATACCAAAGCGGCCTCAAGGAGGCAGCAGAGAAGGAGCAAAGGCGAGATGCCGCTGGGCCTGGGCTGGGAACTCCAATTACCGGGAAGGGCAGGCAAGACGCAGGCAGCTCTGGGGTTTTAAAGGCTTGACCTACAAAGAACAGCCTGACTTCCTCCTTGGGCCTTGCCGCTAACGCAGTACTCATAAATATAGACGGGAGAAGAGGAGGATGTTTCTATAACCGGCGGTGATAGCTGTCAAGTAGAAGTTCTTAGACGAGCTTGGAAACCTACCCACTATTTATAGCTTTGTGTTTCTAAGAAAATATTTACATACCTTGTTGTTATGTACCTTGAAAACCAACCGGGATTCTTTGCATCAGGCACTATTCTAAGCACATTTTGTGCATTCTCTCATTTAATCCTGACAATAACCCTCAGAGGTAGACACTATCCTTTTTTCCATTTTTCAGATGAGTAAACAGACCCAGAGAGAAGCCATTTGCCCAACACAGTGACCATTGCGGGGAAGCCAGGACTTCCATCTAAGGATATCTGAGTCTGAAGCTCAGGTTCCTAAACATCACCCTTTCTGAGATTTAATTCATTAGTGTGATCAAATCTTAGTGCTGGATGGTTAGGGACAGTCTCTAAATTCTTCACTCCTTAAGCCCCCATGCCCAGCACAAAGCCTTATGCAAGGCAGGCTTCAAATTAATATTTATTGAATGAATATTAGTCACTGATCCAAATGTTACTCGCTGTTTTTTTCTCCATTTAAAAAAAATTAGGGAGGGCCGGCCGAGTGGCGCAATGGTTAAGAGCTGACTTGGGACGCCAGAGGTCCCCGGTTCGGATCCCACATATGAGGGCCAGTGACACTGCCCTCCACAGCTAAGATGCTGAACAACAGCTCAACCTGGAGCTGGGTGGCTGTTAGTCGCCGGCGACGGCGTAGGCTGCAGCCCCTGTGGCAGTGGGTTGCCATGGGCTACCGTGTGTAGCCAGCAGCCAGCGTGAGCGGCCAGCAGCCGCAGTGAGCGGCCGTCCAGAAGCCAGCGACTGATCTGCCTCGCCTGGGAAGAGCGCAATGATGGTGCCAACTTGGGCCAGTGAAGCAACATCCTCCACAACTAGACTGAAGAACAAAAGGACAGCAACTTGTCTGTTCCCCTTCCCCCAATTCCCCAGTGCTGTTCCCATCCCCCCAATTCCCCAATAAAAATCTTAAAAAAAAAAATTAGGGATAATTGACCTATAGTGAAAATCACCCTTTTTATGGACAGTTCTGCAAGTTTTGGCAAACATATAGTTAATTATGTAAACACCATAAACAAGATATAAAATGATTCCATCATCCCCCTAAATTTCCCCATGCTCCTTAGTAGTAAATTTCACACCCTACAACCCCACACAGCCCCACTCTTGGCTTTTGCAAGAGTGTCACATAAAGAGATCATTCAAGCTGTAATCTTTTGAATCTGGCTTCTTTTACTTAATGTAATGCATTTGAGGTTCACCCATGTTGTTGAGTGTATTGATCATTTGTTCCTTTTTATTCCTGAATGGTATTCTACTGTATGGGTGTTCCACAGTTTTTTTATACATTCCCCAGCTGAGGGACATTTGGGTTGTTTCCAGGTTTTGGTGATTACAAATAAAACTTCTATAAACATTGCTGTATGGAGATTTGTGTGAGTTTTCATTTCTCTAGAGTAAATACCTAGGTGAGGTTTTACAAGGTCATATGGTAAATGTATAGTTAATTTTACGAGAAACTGCTAAACTGTTTTCCTAAGTGGCTGCACCATTTTGTATTTCACCAGCAATGTACAAGAGTTCCAGTTGTTCTAAATTCTCATTAGCACTTGATAATTGTCAAATTAAATTTTTTTTAGCCATTTTAAAGGTGTGTGGAAGTCTCTCCTTCTGGTTTTAATTTGCATTTCTCTAATGACAGATGATGTTGAGCATCTTTTCATGTGCTTAGTTGCCATCTGTATATCTTCTTTGGTGAAGTTTGTTCAAATCTTTTGCTCTTTTTTTTAATGGATTTTTTTCTTGTTATTGACTTTTAAGAGTTCCTTATACACTTGGGATGCAAATCCTTCATCAGATATATTTTTTGCAAATATTTTCTCCCAGACTGTGGTTTGCTGTTTTATTCATCCTTTAAAAAAAATATTTTGTTGGGGAATTGGGGAAAGGGAACAGACAAGTTGCTGCCCTTTTGTTCTTCAGTCTAGTTGTGGAGGATGTCGCTTCACTGGCCCATGTTGGTATTGTGATCATTGCACTCTTCCTGGGTGAGGCAGTCGCTCACCGGCCATTGGACAGCTGCTTACGGTAGCTCACAGCAGCTTACGGCAGCCCACTGCAGCAGGGACTGCAGCCTACGCCATCACCAGTGACTCACAGCAGCCCAGCTCCAGGTCGAGCTGTTGTTCACAATCTTAGCTGTAGAGGGCACAGTGTCACTGACCCTCATGTGGGATCCGAGCCCCCGGCCCTGCTGCTCAGAGCTCGCGCTCCCAAGCCAACTCTTAACCAATGAGCCACTCAGCCAGCCCTATTCATCCTTTTAACAATGTCTTTCAATGAGTGTTCTTAACTTTGAGGAAGTCCAATTTATCCCATTTTCTTTTATGGACCATGCTTTTGGTGTTGTTTCTAAGAACTCTTTGCTCAACCCAAAGTCACAAACATTTTCTCATGTTTTCTTCTAGAAGTTGTATATATCAATAGTACATATGTATAATCACCTTATAAGTTTATAGTATTAAATGAGTTAATGGATGTAAAGCCCTCAGCACAGGGCCTGGCACAGAGTTAATACTCAATACACGGAGCCTACGGTGGACGTTGGCCTATGTAATATTTATAAGAGGTGGCCCCATGCCCACCACACATTTCCTCTGGTATCCTGTCATCACTGAATGTGGGGTGTTCTGTCATCACACAGTGGCAGACCTCTGCAGACATTCTTGTCCACCTGCTCCTGGACCCACTGGAGGTAACGTGAGGCATAGAAAGGTGCTAAGGACTATATAGGTCCTCTGGAAGAGCCAGACCAGCTCAGGGCTCTACCCACTGCCCTGAGCACGCCTCCATCCCACCTCCATTTCCATGAAACCTGGAGCTCTAGCCCAAGGTGTAATGGGGTGACAGGGGCTATGGTCTATTTATTGAGCACCTATGTGTGCCACCTACTGTGTGCTAGGCCCTTGGCTATAGCAGTGAACAAGACAGACAAAACCCACTGATTAGCAGAGGAAAGCAACGAACAAATAATTACATAATTAATTACTGGATTAAGGAAAAGGGCAGGGTGCGGGGGTGGGGGGATGTCTCATCTTTATTGCCCTTCCTCAGCCTCTGCCTCGGTGCCTGGTGTCTTAGGCCCTCCAGGCTGGAGGGTGGAAGGTGCACAGACACAGGGACCCACATGACGTCCACGTGAAAATAAGGTAGAAAGGGCCTCCGGGAGGTGGGGCCCTGCTCCCCAGGGCTCTGAGAAAAGGCTTATTCAGTCGTGGCTCATTCATTCCTTTGAGAAATCTTCTTGCGGCACCTGTGTGCTGAGCACCCTGTGAAGAGGACAAATGCGGCCCGTGCCCTGTCACTATATTGGGCGCAGATAGAGCGACATGAAACAAGCCAATAAATAACGAAGATGGGTTCAGCCAGAGCCTTAGGCTCGGAGGGGTTGTGATGGGGGCAGGGCGGCCAGGTAGACTGGCCTCCCGGGGGTGGGGACACGTCCAATCTTTGCTACACACACGCTCCTCCCTCCACCCCCAACCTCGCAGAGGTCACAACGCTAGCTACCAGCTCGCCCTCCGCCGGGTCTGCAGCAGACGCGCCCCTGCGCGCGCACACGCGCGCGGCCCACGCCCGCCCGCGCTCTCCGCGCACGACGCCCCCTCGCGGAAGCCCTAAGCCGCGCCGGCCGCGCGAGCAGGGGAGGGGGCGGGGGCGCCGCGCACGCGCACGGGCCGGCGGCGCGCGCCGAGCGGGGGGCACCGCGCGGGTGCAGGCACGATGGAAGGGGGTGCGTACGGAGCGGGCAAATCCGGGGGCGCCTTCGACCCCCACACGCTGGTCCGACAGCCGCACACCATCCTGCGCGTCGTGTCTTGGGTAAGGACGGCTTGGTGGCCCGGCTAGGCCGGGGCTGGGGCGCGGGCAAGGGCGGCGAGCCCGGGTGGACCCCAACCGCACGGGACCCCGGACAGGGGCGCGGCTGGCTGCTGGGAGCCGTCCTGTGGGGTTCCGCCTCCTGTCCCTCCCTCCCTTCTTCCCGGGCCCCGGGAGCGGCTGTCCCGGCGCTCGCGTGGGGCGCCCGCCGTGGCTCCCGGGGCCCTTGCTTTCAGGCGCCCCCCTTTCGTGCGCTCCCCACCATCGCTGTGACCTCCAGGCAGTGGCCCTGCAGCTCGCAGCTCGGGTTGCGCGCGGCCGCCCGGGCGGACCCGCGACCATGGGGAAAGAGCCCGGATTTCAGGTGGCCTTTGGGGGAGGAGGTGATCAAGGCGTGGATCATATCGCGGGGGTTCACGCCGCACCTGTCGTGGACGTTCAAGGAGGAGAGGGCAAGGAACCTGGGTTTTATGGCTTGGCCGGGACGGTGTGGAGCGATGCGTCGAGCCTGATTACCTGGCTTCCACCAGGAACTGCCTCTCCTTCGCAGCGTGACCTTGGGCTGGAAACCACCCAAGAAATGTTCACGGGAAACCAGGAGTTAAATTCTGAGGTAGAAGCGTCACCTCCTCTCTCATGCCTCAGTTTCCCGATTTGTAGAGAGGTGGGAGGAGCCTCCTTGAAGCTTCCTTGGGCTCTGATATCATGAATCCGTGACAACCCCCCCCTCCATACACCTGGATGCCTGTGGGGGTTGGGGGACCCAGGGGAAGGAAAGTTCTCCTCCCCGCAGTGAAGAGCAGAGAGGCCCCTTCTGGATCTCCAGCCTGGCTGAGGGGGGCAGAATCCCCCAGTGCAGAGGGCTGAGTGGGGTCTCTATTCAGACATGAGGTGGGGGAGGGGAGGAGGGGACAGAGGGAGGGGTTCACATGGCCTTGGCAGCACCCCAGGGAAAGAAGGCCAGCTGAGATCTGGGGAGGAGGTACCTCAGGTTCTCCAGGGCTGGCTGGCCATTGCCCAGACACCCTCACCCAAGGGTCTTCCTTCTGTAGGCCTGGGCCCATTCCCGTGGGCCCAGAACAGAAGGGCCTGGGTTGGAGACACTGGTCAGTGACCCCAGGGGGTTACACCTAAGGCCTGCTGGGCCTCGGGGTGCTCAAACTCCCTCATTTCCTGCGTTTCCAGGGTCTGATGGGTGGGACAGCTTGGGTGTTTATGTCTGGAGCTACTTTTCCTTCCTCTAAAACCACTAAAACCCCCTGGTGCCACAGAAAGGGTGGCCCTTTCTCCTCAAGTGCCCACCAGATGGGGAAGCCCTGTTCCGTTAAGTCTTTGGGCCCCCCAGTGCTGGCACCGGCACCCTTGGCACATCCATGAGGATTTAATGGTGCTGAATTCACTCATCTGTGCCAGCCTCCAGCTCCCCAGAGACCCGACAGGTCCTTGGTAGAGCTCTGGGGGCACCTGCCTGATCAGGTGGGCCGGCTGTGTGCGCTGCTCTCCTTTGCAGGCCCCTGGGCCACTGGCCTGTCAGGGCGAAGCCACTGGCTTTGTGAGGGGGTGTGGCAGTTTATCTGCTTGGGTCACTTCTTCCTGTGATGGCTTCATTTAGCAAAGCTTTATTGAGTCTGCTGGGCCCTGAGGGAAGGCGGCATGACTCAGACACAGCCCTTAGTCCTGCTGGACAAGTGAGCCAGACACCCCGAGGCAGAGGCCGTTAGAGCCAGGAAAGGGGTCTCCCTGCCTGCCGTGGGAATCAGAGAGGCTTCATGGAGAAGATGATGTCAGTTTGGGCCTGGAAGGATGAGGAGGGTGCACATCAGGGTGCAGGGAGGACATTCCAGGCAGGAGGAAGGAAAAATAACTCAGATTGAGCACCCACTGTATACAGGGGCGCTGTCACGATTACTCAGCCGCTTCCCCAACACACAGCCTGTGTAACGCTTGAAGAAACTGAGGCTCAGAGAGGCCCAGTTTTTTCTGAGCATGTAAGTGGCAGATGGAAGATTCGAACCCACATCTTCTGGTCTCCAAAGCGCAGGGCTTCTTCTGGGGCAGGAAGAGTTCGTGGAATCCTGGAATTTCAGGACTGGAAAGGATAATGAGGTGGAAGGGGTCTCAGCATCCACGCGTTGTTTTTTTGTACCAACCCGATCCAATACCCAAACCCAAAGTGCTCCCATGGCCTCCTAGCCTTGCTCACTACCTTTGTGTGAGCAGAGGCGTCTGTTGCAGGCTGACTAACGCCTTTAAAATATAGTGATATAATGTTTTTTCCAGATCGCAAAAGTAATACCTGCCAATTATTAGGAAACATAAAAATCACTTGTGATGGTTGCACAATACAAATGTACTTAATAGCACTGAATTGTACACTTAAAAAATGGTTAAGATGGTAAATTTTACGTTACGTATATTTCACCACAATAAAACAAAAATTTGGAGGAAAAAAAGCATGGGAGATCCCACTGCTTAGAGAGGGCTGCTGTCTCCTTCCAGTTGTTTTCAAAAATATGTGGTGTGCTGAGACATTTTAATATGTAGGGGAGCATCCCTTCGCCTTTACAGGCTGTCCACAAGCTTCACCTCTGAGCTAATGAGACCTGAGCTCCAGCGCTAAGGTGACCAATTTGTCCTGGTTTGCTGGAGCTTTCCCGGCCGTAGCACTGAAAGTCTCGTGTCCCCCCCAGTCCCAGACAGACCCAGCCAGTTGGTCACTCTACCCAGGAATCCCCTTTGCTGCCCAGACTGTTTCTGCAGCCCTGGAGGGGCCCAGCAATGTGTGGCATGGACTCGTGATTTCTAACATTTGTAAAAGAAAATCTTTTTCTGTTATTTTTCTGAAAGAGGGCCCCCAAACTTGTATAAGCTTCAAGGCTTCATCAAACCTGGACCCATCCTGGAACCTGAGCCCACTGAGCCCCATGCCCTACTGGGGCAGAATCAGGTCCTAGGACCCCCTTGTCTCTTGACTGAGGCTTTCTCAGCTCCTCTCTGCCCCTGTGTACCCCCATCACCCCCCCCCACACACACACACACACATCTGTCAGGGTAATTACAACGAGAATTGCAGAATCAACCACGTTGGGTAAAGGTGGGAAGAGAGCTGGTAAGTCCTCTGGCAGATAGATCCTGCCCTGGGTGAAGGGAGGATGGCTGAGTTGGGACAGTGTCTAGGGCAAGCTCAGAGCTGCTGCCTCTGACCCAGGTTGGGGGTGGGGGATGGGGCTGTACTGGCTGTGGGCCAGGAGATCTGTTGCTACTCCTGGCTCCCCAGGCACCAGCTGAGCCCCCCGCCTGTGCCTCTGTATGCCCCTCTGAATGAGGCTAGGCTGGGACAGAGGTGAAGTACCACTGCACCATGACTGCAGCCTGTAGTGATCCCCTTCTCTGTGCTGGAGCCAAGTGGGACAAAGGGAGTTCCAGCAGGAACTAACTGATTTTATGTAAAGGACCGACCACCTTCTAAGATTTACAGTCTTACTTTTAGAGGGTTGACATGACCTGTGGGAAAGAATATTGATGCTGGTAGATGAATTTTTTCAATTAATGCTCTGTTTTGGTAAAATAAAATGATAAAATGTTTGAAATGTTCCACTTTCAGGGTTGATTTCTTAAGGGTGTTTGTTGGTTGTAACACCCAGGCAGGATTCTGTAAGTAGGGTAGGTGTCGTCGCCCCAGATTACAGAATTAGGCACAGGCTGGAGGGGACTTGTCTACCAGCTCAAGGCTCAGACTGTCAGAGGGGCAGTTTCAACCTGGTCTGCAAGGTCCTCATTCAGTACACTCCCGGTGGCTTCCCTGTCTGGGTTACAGTGGCACCAAGGGGTGGCTGAAGGGGGGCAGCTTTACGTCCTCATTTTTATCAGCCCCCCTCAATCATCCCAAGTGAACATTGAGTATAAAAGCTGACCTTGCTTTGCAAACACAGCAGTTTCAAGACGAGACCCCTTGTCCCTGCTCCCAACCAGATTGCCACACCCTTGCCCTACTGCGTAGAAATTCTGGAGTCCACGGTGGCAGTGAGTGAAAGGGGTCCAGGCGGAGACAGAGCCTCTGGCCTTGTTCATTCATTGTACGTGTATCAAGTCCCTGCTCAGTACCAGCCTGTGTGTCCCACCAGAGATGTCCTCAGTCCAGAGAGAACAGAATTGAGTTGACAAGCACCATGCAGGAGGCTTGGGACGCTATGAGATTCAGTGGGCCATAGCTACTTCTGTCAGGGGGGTGTGGAGGGCTTCCTGGGGGAGGTGACTCCTGAGCTGATTCTGATAAGGAAATGAAGAGGGGTGTTCCAGGTGGAAGGAACAGCATATGCAAATACCTGGAGTCATGAGGTCTCAGTGGTTTTAGACATGGTGAGTTCTTGGAGGCCCCAGGTGTGTGAGTGAGAGTGACAAGGCAAGAGGCTAGAGGGGCGGGCAGCCCAGGAGGGGTCTCGAGGAGATGTTGGCTGATAGGACTCTGCCAAGTGTCTTGGCATTTCTTGTGTACAGGAGCAGTTCCGGAGCTTGGGGAGTGTGGGAGAGTCCGGAGTTTGGCACCGAGAGCAGGACCTTGGAAAGCCCCAGGCCTCTCTGAGCCTCCGTTACCTTACCTGTACGGTGGGTTTGGAGTGCGGGTTTGGGGCAGATGTGAAGGTTTGTGAAAATGGATGTTTAAAGGGCCTGCCATATAATCCGCTCCTTCTAGGCACGTGATGTTCTCATCCGGTGGGTTTTGTGACCCCCACTCTGAGAAGCTGAGGCCCAGAGCGTTTAACTGGAGTTGTTGAGATCATGGTCCATGCTGACTTCGAGGACATGGCCCCTGTTTCCTGCTTCAGGGAGTCCCCAGCCTGAGCCTGTGGAGAAAGAACAAAGGCTTGGGGAGGAAAGGCAGAGAGGAGGAAAATCCAGGAGGAGGAGGGAGGAGAGGGAGAGGGCAGATGGTAGAGCTGGCGAGGGAGCCGTGCTTGTTCCCCAGACCGGAATAACCAGCTGCCTGGTGGGAGGAGAGGTGG